AGGTCCTGGCTCATTCCAATTGCCTCTATACCCCGGTGTGGCTGCTGCTACCAGCTGGCCAACTGAATTTGTCAGTAGGTCTCTAAGGTGGAACTTTGTCTCAAGATCGCAGTGAACATTTTGCCTTAAAGCAATTAACGCTGTTTCCCAGTGTTCAATTGTTGCAGTGCAGCCATTAAGATTGTAGATGGGCATTCCATGGAGGGAAGTAGACACCAGTTAATAAGTTAAATGCAGTCTATAATGTGGGAGTGACCTCAATGTGGTGGTGTCAGGGCCATAACTCAATATGTGGTGCTCATGGTTAGATGAAGAACAGTTAAGGTTTTCCATCCCACACTGGTTGATGCATCGTCACAGAATTGTTACAGTGTAGAAAGAGGCCCTTCAGTCCACCGTTGGTACTCCAGCATCTGAAATAGCATTGCTACTTAGTGCCATTCTCCTCCCTTAACCATGTGAGCCTTTGTTTCTGTTCAAATCATCATATAATACTCCTTTGAACGTCTCAGTTGAACATACCTGTACCCCACTTCCAGACAGTGCATTTTGGACTGTAACGACTCACTGTGTGAAAACATTTTTCTCTCATTGTCGCATTTGCTTCCTTTGCAAATTGCTTTAAAACTGTCCCTTCTCATGGAATCTATATAGTGTGGAAGCAAACTATTTGGCCTATCAGGTCCACACAAACCCTTCAAAGAGCATCCTATTCAGACCTATTCCATCTCTGTAACTGCACATCTTTGGACTGTGGGAAAATTTGCAGACTCAGCACAGTCACCTGAGGGTAGAATTGAACCCATGTCCCTGGCACTGTGAGACAGCAGTGCCAACCACTGTACCACCCCTTGATCTTCTTCACAAGTGAGAAAAGTTCCTCCTCCTCTGCTCTGTTAAACCCTTCACGATTTAAAACAATTGTCTTTACATTAATATTTTATTCAGGAAGGTGATAAATTGTGTTGACTTAACTGAACAGGAACATTTTGAACAAGGTCATTTGGGGACAGTTCTTTGATAGATATGGTTTGCTGCATAGTGAAATGTTGGACCAGATTTTTCTGATGAGTGGAATTGTCACACAGGTGCCACCCAGGGCTGCCTGTACTTCCAGCTGACAGTTCTTTTGCAAGGTGTAACTGTCAGATAAAGCAAAACTGCTAACAATCAGCTGCTGTATTCTGAAATTTGAAGGCCCTGATAGCCACTTTGACAACTGCTGTCAAAAGGTAATTACGTAAGGTAAGTGTAATGTCTTAGAACCAAAGAATTCCTACAGTGCAGAAAGAGGCCATTCGACTCATTCGAGTCAGCACCAACCCTCCGCAGAGCATCCCACCTTATCCCCATAATTATGCATTTACTGCGGCTAACCCCATAGCCTGTACATCCCTGGATGCTAAAGGAGAATTTAGCTTGGCCAATCCACCCAACTTGCACATCTTTGCATTGTTGGACGTAACTGGAGCACTCAGAGGAAATCCAGGCAGTCATTGGGAGAACCTTTAGGGTTAGAGTGTTAGGGTGCTGCAAGGTCAGGGTGCCAGATGGGTAGGGGCTGAGTACAAGGTAAGTAGGGTGCTAGGTAAGTAGGGTGGCAGCTTGATTAGGGATAGGGTGCCAGCTGGATTGAGTACAAAGTGGGTAGGATGCTGTGAGGAGGGAATAAGGCTCAGAGTGGATGGGGGGACAAGTGGGACAGGTGAGGTTTTATTTCAGGGTAAGCTAGAGGAATTAGGTCTGTTGAAGGGGTGGGAAGAGTGGGTGTTAGTTCTGGAGGCAAGTTTGGGTCTGGCAGGGAGTGGTCAGATTGGGTCCAGTGGGACTAGGACTAGGGTGATTGGATTGGGTCAGGACAGCAGTGAGCTGGGTCAGGGCAGCAGTCCAGTATCAGTGGCAGCAGCGTGTGGCAGCAGTTGGGTCTGACAGCTGGGCATATTGGGCCCCAGGTCAAGGACTGTTGGGTTCTGGGATGGGAGTTTCTGTGTCCCGGGGTGGGAGTGTTCAACCTCTGGGGTGGGAGACGAGGGGCATTGGGTATGATTTACTCAGGTGGGGAGGAAAATGGGTGGGCGCATCTGACAGCAGGGTATCCCGATTCCTGGGACAGATGTGCCATGTTCCCCGTAGGATATTGAAGAGTTATTTAGGAATCAGACTATGTACTTAATGATTCAAATTTTCCAGGGTAACATTTTACTTAATTTAATCAGAGTCATCCAGAGTATCTAATTTAAATAGAGACTTTCAGAGGGCTCTGACATAGGAGAATTTACGAGGAGGAAATTCAGTTTCCCTGCAATTCCTTAAGAATCTGTTACAATGGCGATTCTGCAGAGTTGCCACATGCAACTGTTTATGTACACTGGAAAAATAACCACCTGGCCATCGGAAAACCTGCCCTATTATAGCTAAAACATTAATTAGAAGGTCTCTGGATTTAGCACCAAGGGACTCAGTCATTATTTCTGGCAGTGATGCCACTTTCTTATTGTTATTTTCCCCTCTCTGTCGTGGTTCTAGTGTCATTGCTGTCGCCTTCACTTTCAGACATCCTGTTCAGGAGGAACATGTGGTACATGGAACACTGCAAGTCCCTTCAGTGTGGTACATCCGGATAAGCATGCAGCAAGTGCTCCCCTTTGGTGATGCCACACAAATAAAAGCAAACCATAGCTAAAGCTGTTGGGCTTCCTATCATCTTTCACTGAGCTGACATGAAACCCTTAAGTGACCATCAAGCAGTGACTGGCGGGTTCAGTTATGTCCAAGGCAAAGTGATCTATTCAATGCCTTCATTCTCCCCATAAAATTTGGATCTGGTCTGGGAATGGGTGGGCAGTCATCAGGAAGGCCACTGACTCAGTTTAATGAGATCTGTTTCCCCAAGCCTCCCAAAACCTCCTGGCACTTTGCCTTCAAACCCCTCAGCGGTGGAGAGGCAGGGGCTTTCCCTGAATTGGAGAAGTTGGAGTTCACAGGGTGGGTTAATCTCCAATTAAGGATGGCAGGTAGGCGAAGGGTCCAATAGGAGGCCCATCACCTTAGAAGGTGTTATATCCTGCCGTTAAGCCAAGAGTGAGAGAGCGTCTCTAATTTTGAGGCATCTTTTCAGAAAATGTTAAAACTTCTGAAATGGAAATGACTTCAGCAGTCAGGCCATTATTGTGGAGGGGACACCTTCCAATAGGATAGCTTACAGCTGCCTGAAAGCCTGCCTGCAGTGTTGGTGCTGGGAGGCTGTATTCTGGCCCCTTTAGATTATGCATTCAATGAAGACAGGATAAAAGGGGTGGTGATTGGGGGAGGCAGGAAGTGCTTGGGAGGCTATTGACAAGCAGGCCTCATTTGGCCTTTTACTTCCCTTATAGGCTACCGATCACTTCCAGGAAAACAGCCCTTCAACTGCCAATCCCACTTCTGGAAAATGATATAATTCTTCATGTCCCTTTGTGCCTGTACTTGCCCCATTTGTGGATAAATATCCTGCACCATGAGTTCAATGTGATGTGGGAGAGGTTTCGTTATTTGTAGAATTTAACTTGCTTGTTTCCTGTAAGTACCTTTGCACTTCATTTTCCTCATTCAAAAGTGCTGCGGGATTCCGCTCTAAATGTTTTGTTTTGCAACAGCACCATCTACAGTTCTGTGAGGATGATTCTATTTCTCCCCTTGTCCTTCTGATCATTAGAGGTCACAGGTTTCTAAGATGCTGTCAATTAAAGAAGCCTTGGCGAGTAACTGCAGTGTGCCTTGTCGATGGTGTTATATTGCTGCTGTGGTGGAAAGGGTGAATGTTTAAGACTAGGTGGGGAGTCAATCAAATTGGTTTATTTGTCCTGGATGATGTTGGAGACGCACTCATCCAGGCTGGTGGAGTGTATTCCATCGTAATCCTAACTTGTGACTTGCAAACAGTCTTTGCTAGCTCAGGAGGTTAGTCACTCACCACAGAATTTGCAGACTCTGATATACTCTGGTAACCACTGCATATATGTTGGTCCAGTTCAATATCTGGTCAAGTCCACTGCATGATGTGACAACCAAACAAAAATTGTGCAGATAGCGTGTGTGGATTCCAGAATGAAGCTCACAACTTTGGAGCACTGAATGATTATTCTATCATATTGGAATAATTTCAATACTTGTTTTAATTAAAGGTGGATTTCTGTCATGGAGTAATCTTTTTCTTTGCTGTTATTTAGTTGTGATCATTTTTTAATGAACGAACTATGGTTCTGAAAGGAATTTCCAATAAAATAAGAATGGAAGGGTAAGACCAAAACTGATTAGGTGACAGTCTGGGGATCTGGCCCCTCAAGCAGACCTTTAATAAGGGTTATAACACTTGTTTAATTGCTGGTAAATGTCTTTGATCATCAGTGATAGACAAGTGCTGTGACATACTCATCCTTCCATGCTCGGGGCAGTTCACCTAATTTTCACAAATTTCACAGTACACTTATGTATCCCAACCCCATTCCATCGAACAGTCAGAAAATCCAATCGAGAGTCCTGATCTGTATGGAGTAGATGCCAATTATCTCCGTCAACACCCACCACCCAGAAGAAAAGGGTGGGAAATCCCAGGGTCTCATACAGAAAGGACGCTAGCAGTATAAGATCTATTAAAACAAGTAATTGTCAATTGGCGCAAGGTTTGCATTTATTGACGAACATTGGTAGCCTTTGAGATGGTGGTGCAGGTACTTTTTCTGAAGCTGCTGTTATCTATGTAGGGAAGGCATTCCCGTAGTACTGTTGGGTGGGGAGCTTCAGGACTTGGACTTAGCAGCAATAAAGTAATGGTTATGTGTATCCAGTGAAATGAAGGATAACGTGATGCTCCCAGGTCCTCAATGCCCTCAGCCTTGTGCGAGTTGGAGGTCAGAATTTTGGTGCACTCCCAGAAGCAGATTGGTGGAATTCATGAGGAATTTAATTCCCATCATACGGTGTGATGCAAAACTCTATTGTTTCTCTTTCTTTCTTTATAGGGCAATCAATTTTTGAAAATCATGCCTACAATACAGTTTTCTAGTCCTATCACTGCAGTCTGTGTAGATGATGCTGCAGCTCTACTTTTGGCTGGCAATCAGCGTAAGTGGATTACATTTTTATTAGGTGGTTTCTTTACTGAGGGAGTTACCTGCTATATTTTTCTTAAACAAATTATTTTTGTTCAAGTCATCAGCCTGCCTCAAAGTTAGGTGGCGACAGAAATGAACAACTGAAAAAGTACAGCACAGGAACAGGCCCTTCGGCCCTCCAAATCTATGGCGATCATCATGCCCTAATTGACCTAAAAACAGACCTGCCATTTTTGGATCCATATCCCTTTATTCCCTCCCTATTCATGTGCCCATCTAGGTGCCTCTTAAATGTCTTCAATGTGCCCACTTCCACCACCTCTTCTGGTAGTGCATTCCAGGCTGCTACCACTCTCTGCGTGAAAAACTTACCTTGCATATCCCCCTTAAACTTTCCCTGTCTGACCTTGAACCTGTGCCCCCTTGTAATTGAAGCTTCAAACCTGGGAAATAGCCTCTGACTATCCACCCTATCTATGCCTCTCATAATTTTGTAGATCTCTATCAGGTCTCCTCTCAGCCGCTGTCTTTCCAATGAAAACAATCCTAGTCTTTTTAACTTGTCCTCATAGTCAGTACCCTGCAGATGAGGCAACACCTGAAGAAGGGTCCCGACCCGAAATGTTAACTTTCCTGTCCCTCTGATGCTGCCTGGCCTGCTGTGTTCCTCCAGCTCCACACTGTGTTATCTCTGACTCCAGCATCTGCAGTTCTTACTATCTCAACATCCTGGTGAACCTTCTCTGTACTCTCTCCAAAGCTTCCACATCCTTCTGGTAATGTGGTGACAAAACTGCACACAATACTTCAAATGCGGCCTAACATGCGTTTTATATAGCTGCAACAGGAGTACAACTCCTGTACTCCATGCCCCAGGCGATGAACGCAAGCATACCATATGCCTTCTTAATCACTTTGGCTATCTGTGTTGCCACTTTCAGGGAACTGTGGACCTGCACATCCAGATCCATCTGAATGTTAGTGTTCCTAAGGGTTCTGCCATTTACAATATAATTCACACCTAAATGTGATCCTCCAAAATGCATCACCTTGCATTTGTCTGGATTAAATTCCATCTGTCATTTTTGTGCCCAAGTCGCCAATTTATCTCTATCCTGTTGTATACTTACACTATCATTGGCACTATCAGCAACTCCACCAATCTTCGTGTCATCAGCAAACTTGCTTATCGAACCACCCACATTTTACTCCAGATCATTTATAAATACTACAAACAACAAAGGACCGAAGACTGACCCCTGTGGAACACCACTAGTTACCAGTCTCCATTCTTAAAAACATCCTTCCACCACTACCCTCTGTCTTCTATGACGAAGCCAGTTTTCTATCCATTTAGCCAGGCCACCTTGAATCCCTCGTGAGTTTAGTTTTTGTACCAACCTGCCATTTGGGACTTTATCAAATGCCTTACTAAAGTCCAAATAAACTATATCCACAGCCCTTCCCTCATCAGTTATCCTTGTTACCTCTTCAAAAACTCACCTGTGGTCAACAAGGATGTGAAGATATCTGCCAATGCCCCAGCTATTTCCTCCCTTGCCTCTCTGGCAAACCTGGGGTAGATCCCATCTGGTCCTGGGGACTTGTCTATCTTAATGCAATTTAGGTTTTCCAAAACTTCCTCTTTCAATACATTGATATTCTCTAGAGTATTCACACACTCATCCCTGACCTCAACACCAGTCATGTCCTTCCCCTTGGTGAAAACCAATACAAAGTACTCATTCAGGATCTCCCCCACTCCCTGTGTCTCTACATATAACTTCCCTCTTTTGTCCTTGAGTGGATCTACTCTTTCCCTTGTTACCCTCTTTTTTCTAACATATGCTTAAAAAGCCTTGGGATTCTTCATGACCCTGTTTGCTAAAGATATTTCATGGCCCCTTTTTGCCTTCCTAATTGCTCATTTAAGTTTCTTCCTAATTTCTCTGCAGTCCTCCAGGGCTTCATCAGTTTGTAGCTGCCTAGATTTGTCATATGCTTCCCTTTTTCTTTTGACTAACCTTACAATGTCCCTTGTCATCCATTGTTCCTGAATCCTGCCATTCCTATCTTTTAGTTTTGCAGGAACATGCATGTCCTGCATTTTAGTCAATTGGTCTTTAAAAGCCTCCCACATGCCAGAGGTAGATTTGCCCGCAAATAACTGCTTCCAATCCACATTCTCCAGTTCCTGAGGCTGTTGACCTCAATTCTATCATCAGCCACCACCATTATCTCAAATGTTGTGCAGGAGAAGATTGGGGGCACAGGCATGGTTAAAAATCAAAAGTCAGAAAATAATTCTTCAACCCACAATGTAGAAGGCTGTGGCACTTTCTGTGGTGGGTCCAAAGCATTCTTGTCTCCAATTTTAGAGACACGTCAAACTTGGTTATCATACTTCAATGAGAATCCCTGTTCCGCGCTGAGTCAGATTTATATTTAGTAGCTGCTGGCTGAGTTTCCCAGGGCGTATTAAACCCAGTCAACAAAATGGAACCGCCAGTTGCAGCTCACCAGTGCTTTCCACAGGCTGCTGTATGCTCCTTCCAGATCTGCAAGGAAATCTTAATTTCTCTACGTGGCTTCCCTCGTCCACCAGAGTTGCCAAATGTCACCAACCACAGCCCCAGTCATGATCTTTCCCTCTTGCTTGCTAAAGATGATGAGAGGCATAGGTAGAGTGGATAGCCAGAGACTTTTTCCCAGGGCGGAAATGACTATTACGAGGAGGCACAATTTTAAGCTGGTTGGAGGAAGGTATAGGGGAGATGTCAGAGGTAGGTTCTTTACACAGAGAGTGGTGGGTGTGTGGAATGCGGTGCTGGCAATGCTAATGGAGTCAGATACTTTAAAGACTTTTGAGCGACTCTTCGATAGGCACATGGTTGGTAGTATAATGTAGGGTATGCAGGGTAGTTTGATCTTAGTAGGATCATAGTTCGGCACAACATCGTGGGCCATACTGTGCTGTACTGTTCTATGTTCTATGTTCTAAAGTCTGCCCCTACTTCCAGGTAGTCACGCTGTTCACCTGTCCCTATCCCCATCAAAGGCTAATCTTTGTCAATTATTGAGGACTGTCACCATTGATCCATGGCGCTAAACTCTTTCTGGTGATTTTGCATCACAGGAGCCAACCAGCCTGTTTATCTACTTGACAGATAATAATAAATAGAAGACTATATTTCTAATGCATTTTAGTAGTTCAATTCAGCAGGATGGCCTGCTGAGATATTAATTAACACATAGCCTTTGCCTATTCCCTAGTTCCACTTGGTCTCAGGCATCCCTTCCACATTCTGTTAAATGATAATGGAAAATGGTGAAGGTTGAAAAAAATAGTGTTTTGATTGACTAGGATTTCAAAGATTTTGAGGCAAGAGACTGGAAAATGAAGCTGGGGCCACAATCAGCTTAGCATGTTGCTATTGAATGTAATGTATCCCATCTACAAAAAGCACAGAGATAACAGAAAAACAGGAAATAGTCTCTTGGGAATCACTCCAGAATTATTTTTATGGGAAACCTGAATCACAACAGGTTTCAGGAAGCAGCCATCGATCATCAATCAAATATTTTAAGTCTCTGGAGTTAAAGTGGACCAGGCATATGCCAAAAGGTTATCATTTTAAATATATCCTAGAACCTAACAATGTAGAAAGAGGTCTTTTGGCCCATTGAGTCCACACTGACTCTCCGGAGATCATTACACCAAATCCAGCTCGACCATATCCCATAACCCTACATTTACTGTGACTAATCTGCCTAGTCTACACATCCCTGAGTACTATGGACAATTGCAGTATGGCCATTCTATCCAACCTGCATATCTTTGGACAGTGGGAGGAAACTAGAGCACCCAGAGGAAACTCAGGCAGACAGAGGGAGAATATGTAAACTCCAATAGGCAGTTACCTGAGGCTGGAATTGAACCCTGGTTCCTGATGCTCTGAGGCAGCAGTGCTAACTACTGATCCACAATGCTGCCTTCATGGACTGTTCCAGTATATATTGCTGGAAATTTCTTTTCTCTTTTCTCAGTGCAGAGTTGAAGCAAAAAAAGCATATCAGAAGTGACCAATGTTAACACCCCTCTTCTTAATAAAATGCATCTTTTCAAAAAGAGACTTTGGGAAGATGAGCTTCAGGAACGACCTAATTCAATATGATATCTGGTTGACAGATAGTTGAGAGATCTGGTTGACAATAGTTTGACACAGTAGAGAATAGCTAGTTGGGAACAGGATATACCATTGCATTTAGAACATACACATGAGTTCAAACACTTATCCTTATAAAATCAAACAGTTTATGTTCTCATGCAGGAGGATACGTAATAATTTGGGATATTGCAGCCTTTCTAGATGATCCATCCTCATCAAATAAGGTATGTTTCATTATTTAACTGAAATATTATTTAGGAAATAGAAAATAATATCATTCAATAAGAAATTATTGATTGAGAAAGAATATAATCCAACAAGTGGCATACAGTTTGAATTATCTTTTCCCAATCAAATATCCTGAAAGAAATTATAACCTTTCATGAAGTTACATTTTGTGAAATGCTCTCTGATCACAACAGCCATTGAACAAGGTTCATGAACATGAATCAAACATTACCTGCTGCATTATTCAATCCTAAACACTCATACTTTCCATTTATAAAAGAAATATAAAGTTTCAACTCTCTCGTCTTTTGCAATTTTGCAACATTTAATGAAATGTCAGTGTATTCAAAATCAGGTTAGTATTCTTCAAAGACCGTTTGTATAACAGGAGATTTTATGACTTTATACTTACCTGGAAGAGATATGTAGACACAAGCTAAGTGAAATTTTCTCTTATGCATGAGCATTCCTTGTAAACGTTAAAATTAAAATTTCACATTTCTACAATAACATTTAATTTGTTTATATATTGCCTAAAGCAGTATTTAAATGCACGTATCTCTTTCTGTTATTTGCTTGAGTTATTTTGCCTGGGCTTATTCAAGCCAACCTTTTATTACACTGTGCTAAATAGTCTCTGATATTAACCCAGTGTTGATGGACTCACAGCTAAGTTCAATGTTTACTTCACCCATTGTTCACTTACTACTGGAAAAACTAAAAATGGAAACCTTTCTGAGGACTTTGAGGCCTTAGCTGAGCTGAGGGTGTTAGGAACTAAAGCAAAGTAGCTGCTGATTTGATCAACTGAACTGGTAGGGTACTGTCATTGCCATAAGTTTGCTATTGATTTTTACTGTAGTGGTTAAAATCATGATGGGTACTTATCACAGTGGTATTAAACCTCAGGTAATGCAGAGACACAAGAAAATAACAGTAATGTGCATGAATTTGACTTGACTTGCAACACAGTGTGGGAAGTAACTATGAAACATGTCAATGTATACTTAGATAAGGAACAAAAATACTGAAATATTTACACCTATTTTCTTAATGTCAATTACCGATTGTTTTGCAGTCATGTTGATCACATTTACTCTATCTTTGCAGGATTCTGTCAATCGCCTAGTTAGCTGGAGAGCCCATAATTTTCAAATAGTGAGTCTGTTCCACGTGCATCAAGAATCTGTTGCTGTTACTGCATCCATAGATTGTTCTATCAGGTATAAAAAGGATGGATGTACATAGAGCTTTTTTACATCTTTACAAGTGGTCAGCACTTGTACCTATTGTATGATAGGTTCAATGTGTTAATGATATCTATTGTCAGGCTAAGCTGTTTAAGCTTGACATGTTATTCTTCATGCATGACCTTCTATCTTAAGTCTGGGTTTTTCCGTAATGGTTTGAAAATGTCTAAAGTCTGTGCCCTTTCTGGTATTTATTCCTGGGTTGTGATCAGGAATTTCTAGCATTTATTTTCAATCCCTAGATACTTATGAGAAAGTGATGGTAGACATTCCTTCTCAATCGTTGCAGCCAGTTTGATAAACCAGCTGCTAAACCACTTCAGAGACAGGTAAGTGACAAATATTTGGTGTGCATATGGAGGTGCACATGGATCAGACTGGGAAGAAATGATGGTTTTCCTTCCTGAAATGACATTAATGAACATTTTCTGAAGAAGGGTCCCGACCCGAAACGTCAGCTTTCCTGCTCCTCTGATGCTGCCTGGCCTGCTGTGTTCCTCCAGCTCCACATTGTATAATCTCCACATTAATGAACTAGTTGGATTTGCACAATCACATTTTCCTGCCAGCAGTGATATTTTGGGGGCTCAATTTGCAACAGTTGGAAAGAAGACTACAAGTAATTCTTTTGTTTAAAGTTTTACTTTTACTTTTGATTGTAATTATATAAAATCAAATAAATATAGAAAGAGGACAAAATAGCTTTAAAGTTATAACAAAATTTTATCTCCACTGATTCAAATATTCTCTGTCCTTCTATCTACTTCAATTAAGGATTATACTTAATCTTCGTCACCTATTTTGACTTGTTGGGAGATCAACTGGTTTTGATTTAATGTTATGTGTATGTTATGCATGTTCTAAAGGTGTACTTCTTACTGCCTTGACACTTTTCTGTCTTACATTTCCATCAGCTTCTGTCACATCTGTCTGTCAAATTTAAAAGCTTGCCAAATTTTTATATATATTTGTATAAAGTCCTCCTGGTTCAGCACTCAGTTTTCCTGTTGACTTGTACTATTGTAATGATGCTAATTGTAGGAATCCTTGAAAGGTAAAAAAATGGAAGTGATGTAGTAAGTGACTTGCGCCATTAAGTATGGTACATTATACTGAGATTTCTTTTATTACTTTGACTAGAAAAATGCACTAACCTAAAAAATATAGATCTGCCAAATTTCTCAGTCCCTGGTATGCCTTTCTTAATGAGATTTTTTTTCTTCAGCCTATGTGTTTCTGTACCCAATATTGTTCCTCTTTCTGTTCTGGTAACCGATGGTGTGATGCAGTGGGAAAGGGGTCATAACATGGATCAGGCTAGATTTTCTAGTGGTAGGTGCAGAAAATACCTGGGCAGAGAACTAAGTGAATGAGAGTCATAGGCTTGCTCTCGAGTGATAGGATATGGAGTAACATTTTGGCTGCTAGAGACAGATGCAACAGCCACAAACTAGATACAGAATAGAGTCATAGAATCATACAGCATGGAAACAGACCCTTTGGTCAAACTCGTCGATGCCAACAAGGTTTCTCAATTTAAACCAGCCCCACTTGTCATTATTTGGCCCATATCCCTTTAAACTTTTCCTATTCATGTATTAATTCAAAAGGACTTCTAAGTGTTGTAACATTTAAAAGTTGTAACTACCTGTACCTACCACTTCCTCTGGCACTTCATTCCATCTCCGCACCACCCTCTGTGTGAAAAGGTTGCCCCTCAGGACCCTTTTAAATCTTTTCCCCCTCAGCTTAAAAATGACCCCCCGAGTTTTGAACTCCCCTACCTGAGGGAAAAGACCTTTACCATTCATCTCATCTATGCCCGTCATGATTTTATAAACCTCGATAAGGTCACCCCGCAACCTCCTATGCTCCACAGAGCTGAGTCCCTACATATCTGGCTTCTCCTCAAACCTTCCAGTCCTGGTAACATCCTTGTAAATCTTCACTGTACCCTTTCCAGTTTAATAATATTCTTCCTGTAGCAGATTGTAGGGAGGAGGAAGAGATCTGGTTAGTGCATGGATGGTACCACAAAGCAATATCGAAGAGTTGGAGCTCCTTGCTACATAATCTACTGCTCAGCTGTACATTTTGGTGTTCTTCACTTCTTCTTAACCCTCATCTCTTTTTAACACTGTTACATGTGGAATTATGTCATGAACCTGAGCCGTGTTAGTTTTGTCACATGTATTGAAGCATCCTTACATAGAGCATCTCTGCTGTCCATATTTTGGCAACCCATACAACAGATCTGAGTTACAAACACAAAATATTGTGACTGTCTGTTTTTATTGTTATACAGGGTTTGGTACGCACCAAATGGGCATTACATTGGATATTTTGGACAACACAGCCCTTTCGTATTAATGAACCCCAGTAAGTTTGTTTTACCATGTGACATAATTGAAGCACCAGTGGAAAGCCAGTCAAACAAACCAGACAAAAGTGACCAGTTGGACTATCCTTTGAAGTTGGATTGGGAAAGGTGAGGTTGCATATATGACTTGAATTCAGTTGCACAATATTATACATGGTACGTTACAGAAATCGTATGTTTTTACCAAAAGAACTATGACGAAAGTTCAGATTGATTGATGAAGTGTAATTATTCTACACATTTTGTTATGCATTTTAAGTCTGAAGAATTTTAATGCCTAATATTCTGAAAAGTGTTGCATAGTATTGGAGGTAATTCTCCTGTGTAGTTGAAGTATAATGCAGAGAAGTAAAGAAATACTGGCCACAAAGCTTGGCTGTGCTGTGTCCAGGTTTTTGGCACCACAAGTGCCATTTTTCCTCCCAAAATTGCATTCATAGCATACATGCACACTTCTGGTTTTAGCTGTGTCAGATGTCATTTTAGCACAGGCATTTGTACATATGCAGGGAGTATCCAGAATATCTGAAGCTACTGGTGCATTTGATAAGATGTGGTATTTATAGATACATCTACTGACCTCAACCACTCAAGTGAGGTCACTTAACTTTATGCAGCACTCAGTCCAGATCTCCATGGATAGACTTGTTGCATTGACTAACATGGTGTGTATTGCATGTTTTAGAATGCCAAACTCTGTTGGGTTAGGTTGCTGCCATCAGGTGAATCTTAATGTAAACACTGATCCAGGTTTGCAATGGCCAAATAGTCATTGGAGCAGTACAGACTGAAGTTGTGCATCAGGACATGCAGTTGACTCAGTGGGACTCAGTATTCCCTGTGTATTTGAATTGTCCAATGGGCAATTCCACTGTATCTGAAAGAGTCTATTAATGATGGAGAATTCAGAGGCTTCTATTTCAATCAAGCTAATGGTTAGAAGATTAGATACCAAGTCTACATCCTGGTCAACTACTAATATGACCACTCCCCCAACTCACCAATGACACTTCTCAACTACATTCCACTGGCCCATTATAACACCCCAAACCCTTGACAGGCAACCACCTATCAGCTACCCCTAACCCAACACTGTTCCACCCCACTCACCACCCATGAATTAACCATCTCCCCATCAGATCTGACACTCTTTCCTCCCTTCCCCAGACCTGACATCATACACCACACACCACACACCACACATGGCCTGACATTCCCCCTCCACCCCATCACTGAACCTGGAACTGCTACCCACCCTGCTCTAAGCATACCATCAATTACCTGGCACCCTGGCATTACACACAGCTGACACCTTACTTACCAGAAACCTTATTTACCAGGAACGCTAGTTACTGTGACCCTACTTACCTTGCACCCTATTTAGTAAGGACTTTCATCTTTAGCCAAAAATACCTTCATATTTGCTCTTTTGCAGGATCTGTCAAATTGTCTAGCTACATTTCCGGAAATTTAAATCACAGAAAATGGCATCTACTGCCATAAAATAGTGACCTAGTTTGACTTCCCCTGACTGTGCTACACTACAAAAGGGAAAAATTGCAATCTGAATGTGATTGCTATTACAAGGAATATGCAGGCCACTGTGTAGCTTATTGTATGAAAGCAATCAGGAGCAATTACATCAGTAAGATGTGTATTGTTGCCAAGACTCTGGGGAAACTTGTGGATAAAGATCTGCACTCTGTATGATCCAACACTGGTGTACCTAATTCTCACCCAAGCCAGTAAGGCATCATCCAATTGGGTGGACCTTAATACAGTCTCCAACATTAATCCTTCACGTTAAGTTTATAAACAGTTTTTTGTCCAACATGCCTTCACAAAGTTTGTCAGGAGGGCCTCTTGCATGATCATCTGTGGGTAGAGGACCTCTGTCCTCCCTTCCACCTCCCGCACAAAAGTGTAGTGTTGGCTGGCATCCTGGAACCTGCTCACTGCCACACTGTGCCACTTTTCCCAGAAACAAGATAAGTTGGCACCAGTTGCAGTGCACCTTGCATTTACAGGGTGCAGACGAGTTTTAAGCTATGCAGGGTAATTTCAACTTGTACTAGCCTCTCATGATTTCGTGTCTACCTAGATGTGCAGGCACTCAGCATGCTTTAAGCTGACTATACCTTAATATCATTAAATAAGCAGAGTTGGAGCTTGCCTAGGTCAGAAACAATAAGCACAATACAATGAACAAAAACAGAAATTGCTGGAAGCTCAGCAGGTCTGGCAGCATCTGTGAAGAAAGTCAGAGTTAATGTTTCGGGTCTGGTGACCCTTTCTCAGAACGGGCATGTCTGAATTTGATAACTGACCTTATAATTATGCATGTTGCCACTGCTCTTTTAGCATGTGAACTCCAGTTTCACTAATATGTTTGCTTGTTGTGTCTGCGCTTTATCAATGTCTGAGCTCATAAAGAATAATATAATGGCAATGTCACCAGCAAACTGAACGACCTTAGTCCTTTGCTCAGATATTAGAAATTCATTGATATGAACAGGCTGAGATCAGAAACCCAGAGAATCCCAAAACTTGGTTGAAATTTCTGTACCCCCTCTGACACTTCAGCTCAACAATGCAGCCTCATCGATGTCTTTTCCAAATGCTTATGCTGACTCCTTTGCTAGTCAACAAGGGCATTAGCCATTTACACAGTTTTGTGGAAATTAATTTATGCTGATGGAGTTGTTCTTGTGACAAGGCAAAGACTCTCTCTACACGTTATGGTGAATACACTCAATACTAAAAGCTCTTCCTTATTGCCTCCAAACCCTTGGTAACAGGTTTCAATGAAACAACAAAACCACCAAGGAGATAGTAGGAACTGCCGATGCTGGAGATTCTGAGATAACAAGGTGTTATTCTTCAGAAATGGGGGAGGGGAAGGGGATCTGAAATAAATAGAGAGTGGGGAGGCGATGATAGAAGGTGGATAGTGGAGCAGATAGGTGGAGAGAAGACGGACAGGTCAAGGAGGCGGGGATGAAGCCAGTAAAGGTGAGTGTGGGTAGGGAGTTGGGATGGGGGTTGGTCAGTCAGGATGGAGGGGCGGGTAGGTGGGAGGGAAGATGGACAGGTCAAGGGGGCGGGGATGAGGCTAATAGAGGTGAGACGAGTGTAGGTAGGAAATGGGGGTGGGGGTTAGTCAGTGAGGTGGGAGGAGCAGATAGGTGGGAGAAAAGACTGACAGGTCAGGGAGGTGGGGCTGGGGGTGCAGTGCTGGTCTTTGGATGAGGTCAGGGGTGGGGAGCTTGTAAAGTCCACACTGAGACCATTGGGTTGTAGGGTTCCCAGGCAGAATATGAGGTGCTGTTCCTCCAGTTTTCGGGTGGCATCGTTGTGGCACTGGAGGAGGCCCAGGATGGACATGTCGTCCAAGGAATGGGAGGGGGAGTTGAAGTGGTTCGCAACTGGGAGGTGCAGTCGTTTGTCACGAACCAAGTGTAGGTGCTTCACAAAGTGGTCTCCAAGCCTCCGCTTGGTTTCCCCGATATACAGGAGGGCACATCGGGAACAGCGGGTACAGTATACCACATTAGCGGATGTGCAGATGAACATCTGTTTCATGTGGAAGGTTTTCTTGGGGCCTGGGATGGGGGTGAGGGTGGAGGTGTAGGGGCAGGTGTAGCACTTCCTGCGGTTGCAGGGAAAGGTGGGCCTAGTGGGGAGTGTGGAGTGGACAAAGGAGTCGCAGAGAGAGCGGTCCCTCCGGAAGGCAGATAAGGGTGAAAACCACCAAGGAAGTACTTAATGGCATCTCTTGGACAGAAGTTTGAATTTATAGCCAATTTGGAAAAACATGCTAAAATTAAGAGCAAGGACTTGACTTGAATAAGGACTTGTGAGCATTACATTATGCACTCAGGTTTTGAACAGTGACTCTAGCACTGTTTTATATATCCATGAATATTGCACACTGGTTTGGGCATTCAGCTGACATACAAAATCTCTGCAAAGACGAGGATTAATACTCATTCAATGGTTTATTGCTGTGGTATTGATACCTCAACATCAAATCCGAGAGATACTTACTCTATAGCACAATTGAACCACAGCCAAACTGCACTTACCAGTTTGTGATGATCTCCAGAGCTTTACATAGTCACACCTGTAATCTCATACAAGTCTTCATTAGTTTGGACTAAAGCTTTTAAAGAGTTCTTGTAAAGAGTCCTAAGACTGTTAGTATACATACACATACTAAGAGCAGGGGTAGGCCATTCAAACCTTTGACATTATATGAGCCCAAAATGCACTAAAGTGGGGATGTAAGGGTATAAGGCTGAGTCCTTTGCCAAGGACTGTACTTTCAGCCTGAGAGAGGGAAGATCAGAAGTTATGGTGGAAACACGACAAGGGCTGGGGTTGGGGGAGTAGCAGACAACCATGCTCCTGTACATAAATCCTTTTGCTATGAAGGCCAGTGTACCATTTGCCCTGAAACAAATCAAATACAAAAATTGCTGGAGAAACTCAGCACATCTGGCAGCATCTGTGACAGGAGAGCAGAGTTCATGTTTTGAATGTTGTGACCCTTCTTCAAAATCATTTGGCCTCTTCACCACCTGCTTTCTTTGATATACATGGACACCCAAGTCTCATTGCACGTCCTCCTTTCCCAATCGACCACCATTCAGATCGTAATCTGCCTTCTTGATTTTGCTAGCAAAATGGACAAACTCATACTTATCTACATTGTACTTATCTGCCATACATTTGTTCAAACACTCAATTTGAATAAAACACACTGAGGTGTCTCAGCATCCTCCTCACAGTTGACCATCCTACCCAGCTTTGTGTTGTGTGCAGACTTGGAAATATTACATTTAGTTTCCTCATCTAAATCATTAATATACGTTGTGACCAGCTGAGATGCAAGCACCAATCCCTGCAGTATTGCACTAGTCACTGGTTGCCGCATGGAAACTGACCCATTTATTCCTACTCTTTGTTTCCTGTCTCCCAAACAGTTCTTTATCTAGATAAGTACCCCAGTCCCATGTACTTACATTTTATATGTTAATCTCTTATATGGGACTCTTTGAAAGCCTTCTGAAGGCCAAGTAAACCAAGTCCCCTCTCTTTACCTGTCA